TTAATACATTTCTCATAAAAGTGCACTTATCCTTTCAGAGAGAGTGCTCATGGAGAAGACATGTCCATGTAGAATGCCACATCTCCTTACTGCACTTTATTTATAGAACAGACAGGAAGCAAACCTCCCATAAAGAATGCAATAACAACACATGCCAGTGGCAGCCAGGAAATTCCTCTAATCCTACATTCCTGTTTAAGGAAGAATTCTATATAAATCCAGAAAAGGAACCAGATAGATGTTACCATAGAAAAGCAGACAATAGCTTTATAATATATCTAATACCGAACATGCTTTTATTTTTGGATGGAGGTGAAGGAGAATTAGAACCCCTGTCAGGTTCCAACCTCTATGTGTCCTGGGGAGCATTTTCCACTGGATAGAAAAGTGAAGGGAAATGTAAAAATGTTACAGTGTCACCCAAATAAGAAGTGAGGGGAAATCTTCCAATGGGGACAACTGTTCCCTTGACAACTGTCTAAGATGGTGAACGAAACGCAGAAGCATCTCACAATTAAGAAAGTTGTCCCTTAAAGCATACAGTGTTTGACTTGCTTCTGTAGAGGTAGAGGTACACTGAGGCTGGGTGGTAGAGGTGCACAGGCCAGTTGGTAGAGGTGCACTGTGGCTGGGTGGTGGAGGTGCAGAGGCATGGGTGATAGAGGTGCACTGAGGCTGGGTGGTAGAGGCGCACTGAGGCTGGGTGGTAGAAGTGCACTGAGGCCAGTAAGTAGAGGTGCCCTGAGACCGGGTGGTGGAGGTGCACTGAGGCCGGGGGGTACAGGTGCACTGAGGGTGGTTGGTAGAGGTGCACTGAGGGTGGTTGGTAGAGGTGGACTGAGGCTGGGTGGTAGAGGCGCAGAGGCCAGGGGGTAGAGGCGCAGAGGCCAGGTGGCATAGCTGCGCTGAGGCCAGGGGGTAGAGGTACACTGAGGCCGGGTGGTAGAGGTGCACTGAGGCCAGGGGGTAGAGAACTCTTTTTGGAAGCTCATGGAGACATGTAACCCCAAAAAATAAAATAAACAATACAGCAAAAAGCTCAGTGATGGCTGACGGGTATTGTGTCATCGGGTCCCACGATGAAGTATTTGGATAAACACGACACTTCTCAGGAACGATCCTCATGATTATTGGCACGGTGTGTGTGTGTAATGTAAACCTCAGGAAAGAATAATTATTAACCAGTTCATCTCTCACATCTGTATTCCCTCTACGGACCAGAGAGATTTATTACATTCACACTATGGGCCCGTCATCACTCATCACATAATATAACAAAGTCATACAGAGAAATCATTTTATTTATTTTTATGCAATCCAAAGATAAAAAAGTAACAAAGCTAAAAAAAACCTCCTTTTTTTCTACTTTGATTAGCGTTAATTAAAAAAAAAAAAAGTATTACTCTAAATAGAAATGATCAGGGTTATTCACTAAAGGGTGAAGAGTTTGGAGAAGGCAGGAGAAGGGAGCAATCTAGGACAACATAGCTGACATGGTAAGAGAGCTGAAACATAGCTCATAGCTGAAATTTTCCAAATCAGCTATGTTGTCCTAGATTGTTCACTTCTCCCGCCTTCTCCAAACTCTTCACCCCTTTGTGAAAAACCCCTGTATAACATTTTACTCTATCGTTTGTCTCATTTAAAATTAAAGAAAAACTATGATTTTTGTACGAAGCATTACAAAGTGATTTACAAATTTAAAAAAAAAGTGCGCTGTTACTCTGATCTGCGTTAGTTTGAAAAGATATATTGTGATTGTTGGTTAAAGGTTTAATTGCAATGTTATGATTTGGCCTCCTATCTATCTTTTCCTAGTTTAAATGAAGTGTGTTGTAATGATAGATTATGGCCACTAGATGGAGCTGATGTGCCCAAAAGTATGTAGCCTGCTTTAATTCCTATGATATATGCGCATTTATATATATACTATATATTCCTTTACACCCCTCCAGGTTCATTCCTTTCCACCCCTCCGGGATCATTCCTTTCCACCCCTCCTGGATCATTCCTTTACCCCCCTCCTAGATAGTTCCTCTACACCCCTCCTGGATCGTTCCTTTACACCCCTCCTGGATCATTCCTTTCCACCCCTCCTGGATCGTTCCTTTACCCCCCTCCTGGATCGTTCCTTTACCCCCCTCCTGGATCATTCCTTTAGGGCTCACTCACACATGAATGCTTTTCCTCAGCAAAGAGGAAAAAAGACAAAAAACATATTTTTTTGTTACATTTTATCTTTTTTTTTTTTTTTTTTATTGCAAACTTTGACTTGGACTGTGCTGCTATGACATACCAAAAAATGGAATTGCCTCGCAGTGCAGTTAAACCTCACCACACATTGATGCATGTGGTCGGTGACTGCGCTGCACTGTGTCTGATACTCTTATTTTATTGTTGCGAATTGTTACATTTTATCCTTTTTGTTTCATTTTGTTTACATTCTCAGCTCTTGCTGGTGATAAGCCCCTTATATACCCCTCCTGGATTATTCCTTTAAGGCAGTGGTTCTCAACCTGTGTAACTTCAGGACCCACATTAGTCCTTTGTTTATTAAGTCGCGACCTAGGTGCACTGCAATGGAATGCCGGCAGTGTGGGCTGCTGTGCTGTGACGGAGCTCCATCCATGCATTGCTTGTACAGCTCCCTTGCGTGCCCTGTAGAGGTGATGGGGGCCAGAATGTGATGTCACTCCGGTCCAGGCACCTCTACAGGACACGTGAGGGAGCTATAAGCAATTCACGTATGGATGGAGCTCCCTCGCGGCCATACCCAATCCAAATCGGCACTCTGTGCCGGGCAGCATATTTTGAATGGCTGCTCGGTGTGAGAATGGACAGCGCTGCGCTAGGGCGAGGGGGAGGAGCCTCTCACCTAGAAAAGTGGAAGGCATGCGGCGACCCACTGAACATGGGGTCGGGACCCACTTTTGGGTCACGACCCACCAGTTGAGAACCAAGGCTTTAAGGCACATGTGTCAAACTCAAGGCCCAGGGGCCGAATCAGGCTCACCAGGCCACTTCCTAGACTTCTACTTTCAGATCGATGTATTAAGTTATTACTAAAACCAGCGACAATGGAATGCAGAGGAAATTATGATAAAGATTTAATACATTTATATCGTCTTACAGGCCCTTTGAGGGCAACCATAATGTTGATGTGGCCCACAATTAAATTGAGTTTGGCACCCCTGCTTTAAGGTATCACACGTGACTTCTGTTCCACAGCAAACAGGAAGAAAGCAAAATAAAAAAGAATATTGTTACATTTTATCCTTTTTTTGTTTCATCTTGTTTCCATTCCCATCTCCAATTTACCAAAAATTCAATTGCATTGCAGCGCAGGTAAACGTCACGCACATTGAAGCATGTGGTTGGTGACTGCGCTGCACTGTTTCTGTTACTCTTATTTATTGTTGTGAATTGTTACATTTGATCCTTTTTGTTTCATTTTGTTTCCATTCCCACCTCTAATTTCCGATGAGCCCCTTATATACCCCTCCCGGATTATTCCTTAAAGGAGAACTCTGAGGCGAGTGCTTTTCACTCACCTCCTAGTTCTAGCCGACCCGTGACAATGAGACTGTCACAGGTCGGCTCAGTAGATCGGGAGGTGAGCGAACACATACCGGCGTTCGCTCACCTCTCGATCCTGTCACGGCTCTCTGCCGTGACATGGGAGGGGCTGGATTCCCCGCTGCGATCCGCCAGCGCTGACTGGGGGAGGGGCGGGTACAGCTGGCTCTGCCTCTAGATAGGCAGAGCCAGCTGTCAGTCACGCAGCTGGGCGGATCTCGACATCGATGTCGGGATCCGCTCCGGCGTCTCAGTATACAGTGAGCTGTAGCTCGCTGTATACTGAGCTTAGGGTGACGGGAGGAAGGTTTGTGTCCTCCCGTTACCCTAAGGAGAACTATGGGGGAAAACACTGACCCCATAGTTCTCCTTTAAAGGACTCGCTCTCACATGAATGTTCTTCATCAGCAAATAGGAAGAAAGATAAAAATATATATTTTTGTTCCAGTTTATCCTTTTTGTTTCCATTCTCACCTCTAAATTACAATCAGCCCCTTATACACCCCTCCCGGATTATTCCTTTAAGGATTCCCTCTCACGTGACTGCTCCTCCTCAGCACATAGGAAGAAAGATATAAATACATTTTGTTACAATGTATCTTTTTGTAAAGTGCAGTGATGTA